GAACCCCGGGGCCCCTCTGCGGATATGTATTGGGGAACCCAGATGGCAGAATCCGAGGCAAATCTCTGTCCACACACACTCATAGACCTGGTCCAAGATGATCGGTCTTAGTTACCTAGTCTATCCTGAGGGTCTGGCTCTGACCCCGCTGAGCTTGTGGGTGGATTGGGTAGAAGGCCCCCAGAAGCTCAGTTCTCAAGGATCTTCCCTCTTTAGTCCAAAAATAACCACCAGCTGCCTCTCCTGACGTCACTCCCTTCTCTGCTGTGTCTGGCAGGGCTCTGGTTTATTTTTCAAGACTGAAACACTCTTCCGGCCATCCCTGTCCTCTCAGTGCTGTCGGGCACATCAGCAAGTATCCTCCAGGTGGCTGTCTCAAGGTCATGGCCACCAGGCCAGGGGGCCCTGCCACACATCACCAGAGCTCAGCACACTTGGTGCTCCTTCCCTTGTCTGTCTCCCCCTCCAGACTGGGCGCTCCAGAAGACAGAGTTTTGCAAACCGCTGCTTCCCCAGGGCTTAGCACAAGGCCCAGCCCATCTGTTGAATGGATGAAGCTTCTGTAGGATATGGTTGATCTTGGCCAGGTGAAATTCTCTTTTATCTTCAGGGTCCCTTAATTCTTTTTCAAGTTTGCCATCAGGAATCCACATACTCTTTAATAGCGAATTCTTCTTTCCTCCACTGTTCCCTTGATAACAGTTCAATTCATAAGGTTCCATCAGCCCCTCTTTGCCGAGATGCTTTGCTGATAAAGCTGAAGGCCACTCCTTTCAGTACTGGGGCCATTCAGTGCCGTCTGCTCTTATGAGTCTGGGTCAGCTCCAGGATATCACCTGCTGGGAGAGAGCTGGGCAGAGCCAGGCTTGCTCCTAGGGCCTCTCTTCTTCTGAAGTGGACCAGCAGGAATCACCAAGCCTCAGGGAGCCCCTGAGTCTCACGTGTCAGAAGCTCTTGCCCACTAGCCTTGATCTGGGCCTCATCCCCGAAACCCCAACCCGGTTCCTGACACTGAGCCCCACACGTGGGCCTTGTCTTTCTTTCTCTAACTCTAACTTCCCTCTCTGAACTTGACATTCTCCCATCACACCTCTAAGCCCCTGCCCTTCTTGTCCAAACCTGGCCTCACCTGGTGGTCCTCCAGCCCCAGACCTTCACTGAGGGCTGGTGGAGAGTAAGCAGCGGTGGTGGCTCCCCAGCTTCTCTGAGACTGTGTACCCCTGGTGTCTCTGTCTGCCCTGACACTTAGCACAGCTGGTCTACCCCAAGGCTGTTCATGACTCCCGCTCCCAGACCCTGTTTTCAGAGGTTTGTCTTCCCCCGGGACCTGCTGCTTGCTCCCTGGGTGATGCACGGGAGCACCTGGGTCTACGTGGGGCCTTGGGAGAAGGGCTCAGAAACCTGCTGACTGTGTGTGGTGGGGAGTTTAAAAGGGTCAAATTGCAGACCCAGGGCTCTGGAAGGGGGATGGGGAGCTTGAACTTGAGCCTAGTAATCCTGGGGAGAGGGGTTGGGAGATAGGTCCAGGCAGGTGAGGGCAGGGCCTATGGGGTTGTGTGGAGCTGCTGTGAAGGGCCTTTTGGAGGACGGGTAGGTGGGCCAAGGCCTCTGCCTGTCCTTCCCCACAAGGTTCTGGGTTTGGGCTGCACCTCGTCTCGGAAGCTGTCTCTGGGCTTCTCTGGGTCCTTGTCCTGCCACCTTCCTCCTCCTCTGTACCTCAGTCCACTCCTTTCCAAGCCTCTGTCTTTGAGTTTCTGTTTCTTCCTTAGAATAGAAGCAAACACAACCCATCCTGGGGGGGGAGGGGGTGTGCACCAAGGAGAGGGCACTCTTCCCCCAGGGAGCTGTGGGTTTCTCAGGGGAAAGCAAGGGGCCCTTTTGGAAATTGGTGTGCTGGGTCCCAGATCGTAGCTGGGCCGTCTGTCCCCTGTCTCTCTCTCAACCTCTAGATGGGCCGTTTCAATGCCATGTGTGTTTCTCTGCCCCCTCTATAACCACTGTCTCGCCTAATCTCTTTCTCTCTCCCTGGGACACAGAGGGAACCCCAGTAGTTTCCTGGATCCATTGAGATCTTTATGGGACCTGAAAAAGAAGTGGGTAGGGTGGTGGGATGTTTGGGGCGGAGACTGGCGGAGAAATAGGAGAAGGAGGAGTTGGGGTTTGGGGCCTCCCAGGAGTGGGCCCTCTTCCTCCAAGGATGATGCCCACAGAGAAATGTGGGCTGTGGGCTGGTCTCAGGAGGGGCCGCGGGCTGGACCTGTGCTATGAAAATGAAGCTGAGGCCCCAGTGCCCTCACTCCAACACAGCCTCCCCCCCCCCAAACCCCTGCAGGATTCAGGCCACAAGGCAGGGATGCTGAAAGCTTCTTTTATGAGCCCCAGATTGCAAGGAGGTGGCAATTAGTCCTCAGTGGGTCAAAGGAAAGCAACAATGTGCTCTGCCTTTTGAGGCTTTGAGGGGCCTCTGCATGGAGCCCTCAAAAGTGGCCGTTCTTCTAGGAGCCCCTAGGCCCTCAGCCTCCCCCAACTCCCATCTTCTAGAATCTAAAAGCAGGACCCCCTCCTCCCCAGTCAAATTGTGTCTGATGGACCACCATCTAGTTCAGTTGGGTGTCAGAGCACCATTGGTTGCTATAGTTCCCTGCATCCCCTCCCCAGATGCTCCCAGAAGGGAGCTTGACCAGCTTAGGTCATGGAGCAGGATTCTGAAGGTTACATGTGTTATGGGATGAAGTTGTTTCATGCCCCTCAGATGGGCTCATGTGTATTTGGAACTCTTTCCAAAATCTTGGGACCCCAATCCACATGTGCCATTGGTATTCTCCCAGAGCGAAGGCATGAAAATTTTAGCCAAACTTAGATTTAGTGGAAGGAGACTGAGGTCTCTATATCACAAGTAAAATTCATTTTGATCCCTGCCCAAGTTCTAACCCTGACCACAGCCTATCTTAAATCTTAAACTCAATTCTAACTCAGCTGTAAATCCAATCCTTAGTCTCAACCTAGCCTTCAGTTTAGCTCTAACTGCATTCCCGAGCAAAGCTGAACATGAAACTAAAATGCAGTTCCTTACCACTCTCCGAACCCCAGCTGTAAACCCTAGCCTCAGTTCTAGCCCTAATCTCAAACTTAACTTTCTTCCCAACCTCAAATCTGACCTCAGTGTCATTCACCTTTCCAACTAACCCCAACTTTAATCCCATCTCCAGCCTCCACTCCCACTCGAACATTAGCTAAAATCCAGAACCCAGTTAAACTCCAGCCCTATATTTCAGTGTAATGGAACCACGGCCTTACTCCTTTCTTCTAAGGCTCCCTCTTTCTGGTCCTACTTGTTCTCCCCTCTGGTCATCACTGACTTCCTCCACGAGTGGGTCTAGTTGCCCATAGGGTCACCGTGCCCTTTTCTTGGACCACTCTAGACTGAGAGTCAGGATGCTTGCATGTCCGCCAGTTACCCAGACCTTGGCAGCATCACCTGGGCTGAATCCTCATGCTTCTCCAGGCCTCTGTTTCCTCATCTGTAAAGTGGGGGCAATGATCCCTGCTCTTCAGAGGGTGTGGGACAATCCCATAATCCTCAAAATAAATAAGACATAAGGATATTCTTTGTGTACACCTGGTGGGTCCCAGAGTATCCTGTTATTGTGAGAAGGGCAGCTGGAGGGGTTTGGAATGCAGAGATGCGTGGACTCTGTGTGCTTCCTTATTTTTCCGTCTTGTTTTTCCCAGAGGGGTGGGCCCTGGCAGTATCCCAGAGCTCCATCACTCTCTCCAAGAATCTTTCCCCACCCCTTTCCTGCGCTCCTGTCAGGAGTAGGAGGGCCTTTGTTTCCTTTGAGAGTGCTGAGCTGTTGAACAAGGCCACTCATGACCAGACCGCCCTACCCCAACATGTGGTGGGTAGTCTTGGAATCCAGGGGAGACCCAAGGCTTGTTCTGGGACCCCCTGGACCAATGAGCAAAGGCTGGTCCTCCACTTCCTCCCTCTGCCCAGCAGGACCTCCCCACCCCAGCTCCGTCCTACCCAAACTGTGCTGGCTTAGTCACCCTGATGACAGTCCAGGTTATGAGGGTCCCTGTGGTCCCTAAAGGAAGTACACACAGAGGGTATTGGTGCTCTTCGAGATGCACTGGCACATTCTGCTTAGTAGGTCACACACACACACACACATGCATGCACATGCCCACTCCGTCTCCAACATCCCCTCTCCCACCTGTCCACTGACCTCACTCCCTCACGCACTCTGGTCCCTCTCCTCTCAGGCCTCAGGTTTCAGTTCTGTGGGGGAGGTGGGGGGCTGGATCCCCCATGAAACCCCAGCTCCCAGGGATCCCCTACACCTGGGGGTGAGCTTGTGTCAGGTGTGGGTAGGGGGCACAGCTCCAGAGGGGGCAGCCAGGGGCAGACCCCCTTCCTTTCCTCTTTATCTCAGGAGGCCTGGCTCCCTTTGAAGACCTGGGTCCTTTTCATATGCCTGGGCCTCCCTTCCAGACCCAGTGTCTCTTTCCCTGGTGCCCTTTTCCACAGACCTTGACTTGGGTGGGAGGAGGGCCTGGAAGTTCAGAGATCCGTGGCGGGGAGGCGCTGGAAGCCTGCACTGGCAGGGCGTGTCAGACACCAGAGCCCCGGGGTCAGGGGGAGCCCTGCAAGTCCTGGCCACCCTCCATCCCAAGCCTGGCTTCTCCTCCCTCTTCCCCACTTCCCCCAGGGAAGGAGGCAACAAATGAGTGGTGAGGGGAGCTCCGTGGACGCTGTGAAATTGGGTGACTGTTGTCACCCTGAGGATGGGGCCAGGAGGAAGTGGAAGTTTAACAGGTGCCTAATTACAAGACCTCTGGCCATCCTGCACCACTTTTGGGATAGGGAAGAGCTTGGGTAAGGGCTGGGTGATGCCTGGGTAGGCCACTTTGTCACCTTGTTAATTAGGGTTCCTGGGACTCCTCCCCAAGGCGGGGACCAGGCCCCCTCCCTCCTATAGAAATAACTCCAGCTGCTCCCCAGCCAGGCAGTCACTGCACCTTCCTGCCACCCCGGGGGGCAGTGTCTGGGCCCTCAGCTCCCCCTCCCTCCACCTGTCTGCACACACCACCACCGGCCCCACTGCCACTGGAGCCAGGGATACCCAGCCCAGGCGGAGGAAACATCGAGCCTAGAGACATGGGAGTTCGAGGAGCTTTCCACCTTCTGCTCGTGTGCCTGAGCCCAGGTACGGGGCTGAGCAGGGGCAGGGATGCCCACACGGCATGGGATGGGCAGGGAGAGGGCAGCAAGGGAGGGGCCTGGAAGGTGGGCTGAGATGCCCTGGCAGGGTGCTGCCCACGCTTGTCTTGCTGCTCCCAGGGTTTGGATGTTGCCAAGGGGGCCTCTCCCCAGGAAAGCCCTGCGCCTGGGGGCTTGGGGCGTGTGTTTTTGGATGGCTCTTCACTGTGTCTGCGGACCTGTGGGGCCCACACATGTATGCACATGCTGCGAATAGGGGTACAGGGCTTGCCCGGAGTTGCCGTGGGGACTGGCAGTGGGGTAGGAGGTCAGGTGAACAGCAAAGTCCATCTGGGGGTGGGGGCTGAGGAGGAGCCCGGGGAAGATCTCCTTCCCATCAGTCTGTGCGCTCCTTCCAGCAGGAGGGCCTCCCCCGACCCCAAGCCAGAGCCAAGGGCCAGAAGTCGCTTGTCTCGAGAGCGCAGAGCCTCGGGCTGGTGGAGTGGAAGTGGGTTGCTTCCAGCTTGGCCAGTGACAGCCGGGACCTGAGACCTCTGCTCAGGGGGCCCTTGTGCTGTGAGAGTTCCAGGGTAGCATCTGCCTTCTCCAGGCTGAGTCTGGGGAGGTGGGGAGGGTAACTCCCAGAGCTCTTCCCTGGGGCTCACCTGGAGGGCAGGGCTCAGGACTGGATGTCCTGGCTGCCTGCCTGGAATGGGGCAAGTCCCAGAAAGGGCCAAGCTATGTGAGCATTGCTGGGAAGGACTCTGAGACCCTCCTGGGATCTGGATTCTAGCTGAGGGGGTATCAGGGAGGAGCTCAAGAAAAGGGGAGCATTTTCAGCCTCTGTGTGCAAGTGTGTGATGTGTGTGTGCGTGCGCGCGCGTGTGTGTGTGTGTGTGTGTGTGTGTGTGTGTGTGTGAATGACCACATTTCCAGCAGGATGCCTGCAACACCCTCTGTCTGGTGAGAGCTGGGCTGGCAGAGCTCACCCAGGAAGCTCTGCTCTGGGGACCTGGGGCATCTCTGTGTGTAGTTTGTCTTAATCTCCTAATGCACCAATACCCTCTGTGGGGTTGCCTTTCCTCCCCTCCCTTCCCTCTCCCTCCCTCCCCAGCAGAAGGAGGGTTAGGAGCTCTGGAAGCAGCTTAAAAACTCACAAAGGACTTACCAGCTGAGAGGAGACACCACTACTCAGGTGCCTGCCTTCTGCCTTGGGGAACTTTGTGTTTCCCTCCCATCCTCCCTCCAAGGCTCCATGCCCAGCTCGCTCTCCCACTCTGGTCTTCTTCCCTGTCCCCAGCCTCTCTCTTCTCTTCCATTCCCTGGAAGTCCATCCTCAGTGCCACAGCAAGAGGAATGCAGGTGAGACACCAGGACCAGCTTTCCGAGGGGTGCAGAAAGCTTGAAACCCTTGGGAGGAGGTTAAGAAAGCTGTTAGGGGGATGGAAAGGCCAGGGTGAGGTTCCCTGGCCTGGGACAAGGGAAGACACTGCCTAGGGCAGGGTGGAGGGGCTCTCTTTCAACCTGCTCCTTCTTCTTGAGCCCCTTCCCAAATCCCCACCCTCCAGCTGGCTCCCGGGGTGTGGAGAATGCGCTCTTGTTGTGGGTTGCTTTCAGCAGCCCTTCCCCAGGGTGGAGCCTCTGCTCTCTGCTGAGTTCTGGCTCATCCCTGGCTTGCCTGGTGCCAACCCAGGAGTTGGCAGATGGCATTAGGATCCTTATCTCAGGAATGAGCTGATGTTTTCTTGGCCTGGGGCTGGAGGAAGCATCAACTGGTCCCATTAGAGCCCCAGCAGCCAGCCTGCCTGCTCTGGGGTTACCCTGGAGCCTAGTGGGGTCAGGGCACAGCTGACAGCCCAGCCAGGATTCCGAGGGGCAGGTACAGTGATGCCTGAGATGTTGGGAGAGTTGCAAGGGCACCTGCTGGCTGTCTAGACCCAGACTAAGCTCCTGCATGAATGTCTGGTCATGAACCAATGCACATGGGGGACTGTAAGTGTGTGCCGGGGCGTGTCTTCTGGATTAACATGTGCCTGTGCTTGTGTGCACACATGTGTCTGTAGGGACCTGACAGTGTCTGTGGACTAGGAAGGTGGGATCACATAGGCAGGTACCTGCATTTTGAAGGCTTATGAGTGTGTCCATGTGTTGATTTCCTTGGCTGTGAGACAGTGTGTGATTGTGTGTATGTGTGTGAGACGCCCTCTTGGTGGGAAGGTGGTCCCAGGAGAGAGCCAGAGAAGGGCAAAGCAGAATGAGTTGCCGAGACCAGGGGCTGGGACTCCAAAGGACTTGCTGATTCTTGCAGAGGGAGATTGAGCCAGGCTGGGTGAGGGGCCTGGGGAGGGAGGGTTGCAGGAGACTGGGAGATGGCACACTGCCTGCCCAGCCAGGGCGGGGGCCCCGGGCACACCCCCCTTCGTAGTCTTCTCTAGGTCCAACCGGTTGGGGCTAGCACTTGCCTGGGGCTTCAGGGTAGGGAGGAAGAGATGGGTCTTAAGCTTCCAGATCGTGGCTCCTCCCCATGGGCTGACTCAGTGGGGCTAGGGCTGGCTGTAGAGGGAGAAGCCCCAACTGAGGTGAGTCTGTTGGGGGTGGATGTACCTGAGCCACATGATCACACAAGGGGACGGACACAAGATC